AAAGTCCATTTGTCTAAAATTAACATTACTACTTAAGCTCTCTTTTGCATTGCTTTTGATTGGCAAATCTTCACACCTTTCCTTCCAATGCCCCAAGGCCTTATGTTGGAGTGTCTCTCTTGTCAATAGCAGGGGTGTTATTTTTTCCTCCAACTTGACAGTCCTTAACTCTGATGAGCCCTTTTGATCTGTCTGCATTTATTTTGCTCACTGGACAATTCCAAATGTTTGTGTTCTCACCCTGTCCTGCATTTTTCTTCTGTATTATCTGCTTCTCCTTTTCTTTTTGTTGCTTTTTTCCCCTTCTCCTTTCAATTCAACATAGGTTTTTCTTTAATTGTATTCTTATTCCATTTTTACTGATTTGGAAGTTATATACTCTAATACTCTTCTTTTAGGTTACCTTAGCCTTAAGTTTCTTATTTACTTTCTACTCGGTTTTTGTGTGTGTATAGTTCTATGAAATTTTATCACGTATGTAGATTCATGTCACCAGCACCATGTTCAAAATACAAAACTGTCCCATCACCACAAGGCTCTCCTGCAGCCTTTTACAGCTGCACCCCACCCCACTCCACTTCCCGAACCCTTGACAACCAGCCACCGCTCTGCCCTCCATCCCTATAATCTCACCCTTTCGAGAATGTTACAGAAATGGAGTCACAAAGCATGGCCTTTTCGAGACCGGCTTTTTCACCAAGCACAATGCCCTTAACAACCATCTGAGTTGCTGGCATTTCCAAGTGGGTTCCTTTTGTTCCTGGGTAGAGCTCCACTGTGTGGCTGTGGCAGTCTGTTCACCTGCTTACCTACTGAGAGGCACAGCGGGGCTTTTCCACTCTGGGGCTACTGCAGATAAAGACACGATGAACATTTGTGTGCAAGTGTTTGTGTGAACATGAGTTTTTATTTCTCTAGGATAAGTGACCAGGAGTGAAACTGTTGGGTTGTATAGTGTTATGTTTACATTTTTAAGAAACTACAAAACTGTTTTTCAGAGTGGCTGTAACATTGGACATCCCCATCAGCAGTGCATGAGTGAGCCATTTCTCTGCATTCCCGTACCTCTTCGTCACTTTAGTGGCAGGCAGTGGCATCGCAGTGTGGGCTTAATGTGCGTCTCCCTCATGGCTACTGCTGTGGGGCATCTTTTCATGAGCTTACTTGCTACCCATATATCTACTTTGGTGAGTGTTGGATCAAATTGTTGTGCACTTTCTGACTGAATTGTTTTCCTTCTGTTGAAATTAGACAGCTTTTTATATATTCTGGATACATCCTTCATCAGATATGTGATTTGCAAATATATTCTACTAGTCACTGGTTTCTCCTTTCATTCCCTTAACAGGATCTCTTGCAGAGCAGAAGTTTTCAATTTTGATGAAGGAACCCTTGGGCTTTTTCATGATGTACAGTTATTAGCACAGGCTAAAATTAATCAGTATTTAACTTCCCTGCAAATAATACAAGGAGCTCAGAATATTTGAACAATTCTTCACATTTAAGATACTATCATTGTCCAGTAGTTCCATCCTTTATAAAAATTCAGTTCCACAAATTAGACATTCTAGTAATTATGGACTTTTTAAAACCTTAATGAGTATTTGGATTTACTTACATATTTATCAATTTCTTGGTTCACTATTCTTCTTGCATTACAGATACTCTTTCTGGGATTCCAGTCCTTTACCTTGAAGTCCTCGCAGTTTTTATTTGGATAGAATGTCTGTATTTTGCCTTTGTTCTTGAAGAGCAGCCTTGTGGCCTTGTCGGTTGCAGAATTCTAAGTTGACACTGACTTTCTCTCAATACTTTGTAGATACTACCATTTTCTGGCTTCTTCTGTTGCCAAGGTAACATGAAATGTCAGCAAAATTGTCATCACTTCTCTCTTCCTTCATACTGCTCAAGGCTTTCCCTTTCTTTGTTTTGTTCCGCAGTTCATCCATGATGTGTCCAGGAAGGTATTTCATTTATGTATTCCGTATATGTATGGAATACATGGTGCTTCCTGTGTCCATGGAATCACAGGTCACATCAACAACCTCTTCACACATTGCTTTCCTCCATTTCACTGATCCTCCTCTTCTGGGACTCCCAGATGACGTATGCTGCATCTCTGGTTCCACTATCCCCATCTCTTCATCTGTCATAGTTTCTATTATCTTACTTCTCTTTGCAATATTATTATTTCTTTAGAAATCTTCAAGTTTGCTATTATTAACTTCATCTATGTCGACTATGTTGCTTAACCCATCCACAAAGTTCTTCATTTCTAAAAGCTATACTGATCTTTCACAGATTGGCTTAAACACTTTTTAGAATCTTATTGCTCATTTTTGTGATTTCATCTTTTTATTTCAAAAACTATTTCACAGAAATCATATTGTGTCTGATTAATTCCAACAGCTGAAGTCTTTTGGGGTCTAAACTTGATATTTTTGCTCTTGTTGGTTCTTCCTCCTGTTTTTTTCCCTCAACGGCTTGCCCCATTACAGACTAAGTGATTTCCAACTGGAGGCCCAAAGATTATTCTTCTTATGTGGGTATCCCAAAGGCCTGACTAGGGGATCTTTTCTCCAGAACCTTCTGCTTGAATCCAGGATCCACAGGTAGACCTGGTGCTTATTTGGGCTCAGGGTGAGACTGCCTTTCCTTAGCTTCCCACGCTGGCATGTTAGGCTGGGGAGGAGAGACGGAGTGAGGGGCAAGACCTTGGCTATCGGCTCATCCCTTAAGCCAGCAAAACATCTAAGACCATGGCTTTTTCCAAGTTAAGTTGTTGTATCATGGAACAGCCCTTCCATTGTCCAATCCACCATTCCTCAGGAGCAGATCTGCAGAACCTTCCTCGTTTCCTGAGATCCTCCAGGGCAGGCAAGCTGGCCGTGCTCATTTGAGCCAGATGGATGAGGCACCTGAAAACCATCCTCACTCACCTGGAACGCAGCACCGAATAGGGAAGGGGCATGAACTTGGAATCCAGACACCTTGTTCAAGGTCTGCCTCTAGCACTCTCTGTGAACCTGGACATGACCCTGCAGCTTCAACACCACCCCTCCACCACCACCATGGGCTCTCAGTCTGTCTGTAAAATGGGGGACCTAGTGAGGGGACCCGGGCTCTCTAGCTCTGATGGGAACCATCCCTGCCACTCCTCCAGCCTCTTTTCTAAAACATGCCTCAGAAGACCCTGCAGGCAAGCTCTGCCACAGAATACCACATCCCGTTTCTCATCACAGACTCACCATCCTCCTAATCTCTCCTGGTAAACATCTGGGCTGCCTGGGGGATGGAATGCAAGAAGCACAACCCCTGAGGTGAGCAGTGTGGGTGTGAATCCCGCTGAAATCCCATCCGGGATAGGTCGGCAACCTCGAGGTCCTCCTGGCTGCCTCTGTCTCACACGCTTGCTAAGAGTATTCCTTCCTCAAAAGCTCTGATCCTGACGGGCTCCCGTTGAAGCCAAGACCACAGTCTCCTTCCTGGCAAACCTCAGGCCACCCCTGGCCCACATCCAAGAGAAGGGGTTTCCAGGCCCAGGTCTGAGGGTGACACTCCTGGACCCTCCTGGTTCTCCTTTCATCCAGAAACACACTTCCCCTCAAGACCAGGCATGGCCTCTGTCCTCCCTGCGTGCCGCCTGCCATTCTGTACCCTGGCTGGATGACGGAGCCTTACAGACAGCCATCTGCTGTCCTGGCCATGCTCCTGCCTGGCCTCTCGGCATCTGAGCGGCTCTTAGGAAACTGTCCTAGAGTGCAAAGGGCACGCGTGCACTGTGGAGACACATGGACCAGGACTTGCCCATTCTGCCCCTAAGTTCTCTAGTCTCTGCTCCTCAGCCACAAAGCAGAGGTGGAGCCGGCTCTCCCCGCCCCTCACTGGCTGCAGTGATTACTGCCAAATCACCTTGGAGGCCTCTGCTGTCCATCCTGCAGGGAAGCCCCTGACACTCTAGACTGTGCAATCCCAGCTCTTTCAGTGCCGCAGCCTGGCAGATTGCACGCCAAGCATCCGGTCCCACACTGCTCACCTCAGGGGCTGTGCTTCTTGCATTCCATCCCCCAGCATCCAGTCCCTTCCGTTTTAGTAACAAAATCCTCATTTGGGGCTGAAGCTGTTTTTTCCAGCTTCTAACACAATGAAATGTGGGCATCTAACTCCCAGTCAGTGGGCTGAGATGCAGGCAGAGATCTCCTTCAAGGGAGTGTGTGTGACCTTCCTCCATTCCTTCCCTACACCCTGCTACCTGGAACACGAGTGTGACGGGGGGGGGGGGGGGGGAGTTCTGCAGCCATCCTGGGCCATGAGGGCCATGGCAGAGAAGGGAGCAGAAAAGACAGCTGGACCTCTGAGGACTGTGGCCCTGCCTTGCCAGCTCCAGGTCACCGATGTCCATGACACAGGAGCCATGACGCCTGTCCACTCTAAGACACACTATTCTCTGTTTCCTACCAAATACAGTTATATCGATTTTTAACTGATACACAAAATAACTTTCATCAAATATGTATTGACTTGCTTAGTGTATGTTTTCTGTAGCACACGCTAAGCTCAGGAAGGAGAGGCCCCAAGTCTGACTTGGTTGCTTCTGTATCCTCAGCACTTAGTAAGGGCTCCGCCCAGAGGATACTCCCAGAAGATGCCTGGACTGACCAGGGTCAGGGCTGGGGCCAGAGCTTAGTGTGTAATTAGGATCATGCTCAGTGTGTGATCAGAATCAGGGCCAGGTCTGTTACCAGGATCAGGACCAGGATCAGGATCAGGATCAAGTCAGTGACCAGGACCAATGCTCCATGTGTAACTGGGGTCAGGACACAGTGCAGGACCAGGATCAGGGCTCAGTGTGTGACCAGGGTCAAGGCTCAACATGCAACTGCAGTCAGGACATGGTGTGGGGTGAAGGTTGGGGCTCAGCTAGGACCAGAGTAGAGGCTGTACCCAAGTTAAGACTGTAAGGCAAGACAGAAAATACACACGACCATACGAGGCCACCATTAGCCGTGCTGGGTATCTTTATTTATTGAACTTTATTTTTTGTAGAAGCAAGGTTTTGCTGTTGCCCAGGCTGGTCTCGGACTCCTAGCCTCAAGTGATCTTCCTGCCTCAGCCTCCCGAAGTGCTGTGATTACAGGCATGAGCCGCTGTGCCCAGCCCAAGGTGGGTATTTTTAGTGGACAAGAACCCAGAATGAAGATCTACAGAGGCTTCTTGGAGGTGGAAGGACTGAGGTCAGCTGGTTTTGCAGGATAAAGCCAGCTTTCCCGAGTGGAACCATCAGAGTGGAGGCCCCGCCTAGAACCAACAGCAGAACCATGTGCATCTACAGAGGGGGTAGCCTGGAGGGAGGTCAGGTGTGCGCGGAAGGCAGCTGGACATGTGGCTACACCTCAGGTTCTTTCACAGACAAGAGTTACTGACACACTGCTGGTTCCACGGAAAAATGCGAAATGAGGAAAAGGCCCCTCTCCCTGCTCTCAGGGACGCTGTAGTCTTGACTCCTGGCTGTGCCAGAGCTTCCCCAGAAGCTGCTGGGACCAGCATGCTTCCCACTCAGGCCAGTCAGCCAGCATCTTGCTCCTGGGACAGGCTTTGGGCCCTGGGAGCCAGGCAGGGGCCGCAGAGGACGCGGCTGGAGGCCCCAGACCAGTCAAGGCCCAGGCTGGTCCCCCCTCCTGCTCCTGCTCGCTCCCAACAGCTGCCCAGGCTGGGGGGCTGCAGACTGTGCCCTGCTGTGCAGGGATTGGAGATGGCGCAGCCCCGCCGAGGGATCTCCCAAGAGTCAAAGGAAGTAATGGAGGAAGAGGATCTGAAGATGCAGGGATGTGCCTGGACCCCCACAGGGAGGCTGAAAGCAGCGGGGCCCGCCAGGCCCGAGGAGCAGGCTCCAACTCATGTACTCCTCGGCAGCCGCACTGCTGCTGCTTTGTTATTTCATGCTTATGTAAAAAAATACTTTTTGCAAGAAAAATCTACAAGTACAAAACATCATCCCAGCCCCATACAGTACCAAGTAATATATGGGCATAGATATATATATATATAGCTTTATGTATTTATAACAACATAGAAAATTGGAGAGAAATTATTCCAGGCTCATGGGATGCGGTTCCCCTGGGCCAGAATCAGGTAGGACACAGGAGCCCTGGCCTCCGAGTGTACACGCCCATGAAGGGGACAGGGGCTTTCAGGAGTCACGCCAGATCACAGCCGGGACCTTTTTAGGGCCTGGCCAAGCCACTCTTTCCAGAGCTCCGGTGAGCAGGGGGCCCTGAAGTGCATCTTCCCCACTTCCCCTGCCTCCAGCTGCCTGCTGGGGCGCTGGCTGCAGATTTCACAGCCACTGCCACATGGGGTTGGAGCCTCCAACAGCATCACCTCTGAGTAGACCTGGTCCACTGGGCCCCACAGGTTGGCTCTCTGCAGACTTTCCCTGCAGGTCACCACACTCCACAGGCAATGGCAAGGACGCAGCACCACAGGTACACAGCCCATATCCTCTCATCCTTCCGGTCTCCTGGACTCGAGCTGTCCCAGCGCCCTGGAGACCCAGTCACTGCACCTCTCCCCTGCCTGGACTCAGCAGGGGAAAGACCGGAGGCCCTGCTCCTGCCCTCTGGCTCTGCTAGCACCCCCGACCAGCCCTATATCTCCTCCTCCACCTTCAAGATCATCCCTGAGAAGACCTCGAGCCCCGAGTGGGCACCCTGGGGGCTGTCCTGGGAGCCTCCAGCAGGCCCCTGGGCCACTCCACCAGCAGGACCAGCGTCCCGCAGTGAGGGTGAGGCTTCCCTGGCGGGGTGTGCTTCCACCAGCCTCTCAAGGGTCCGGTTGAGGGCCTCCACACCATCGGCCAGACGCTGGCTCTGCTCAGCCAGCTGCTGCAGCAGCAGGTTCTGCTGGGCCATGAGTGTGCTCTGCTGCTGGGCCCAGGAGGAGAGCAGGGCGCCCTGCCGCCGGTGGGAGTCCAGCAGTCGCTGCTCAAATGCGGACGTTTCAGATGCTGCCACTGGGGTCCTCCTGGAGGGCAAGGGAGGTGCTGGCGCCGAAGAGGGCGGGGAAGGCTGGAAGGACCCCATGAGTGTGGTTGCTGGTGGGGTGGAGGCTGGGGAAGCAGGTGGGGAGGGTGAGGAGGTGGGTGCATGGAAGACTCCTCGTAAGTCCAGGGGGTCAGGTTCAGGCGGGCTGGGGCCTTCCAGGGTCCGCAGGGGCAGCCACAAGCAGCTGGGGGTCTCGTCCTCCTCATCGGCTAACAGGGAGACAGGGAAATGTCAGCCTGCATGTCCAAAACCCAGTGATCTGGGGGGTGAGCACGGCGCAGGGACAGTGCCCATGTGAGGCCTCTGCACTCGGAGCTGTTTGGGTCTCACGATGCTCTGTCTGCAGTGGGAGTTGCACCCGTTGTTTGAGAGATGAGGAAACAGACCCAGAGACGTGGGCACATTTACTCTAGTAGTGCTGGGACTGAAGCCACAGCCTGTCCAAGTGCAAAGCCTGCGTGCCCACCCACCATAGCACCACTTGTATGCATCCTCCCACTGTCTCCCCTGTGCTCCGTCCGCTCATCTGCCTGCCCTCTGGTCTACCCGCCATCCTGCTACCCACGTGTCTATTCCTCCACATGGACGGGCCTGCCTTGTCCACTCATCTATCTGTCCACCTGTCTGTTCACCACTGTCTAGCCATCCCCCTCCAACCTCCTCTTCCTTCTATTCATCCATCCATCTGTCTACTCACCCATTTATCCATGCTGTCTGTCCATCCACCCAGCCAACTGCCCATCTGCACCTTCCTCCTTCCATCCACCTATCCACTCTCCCATCTACACCTTCCTCCTTCCATCCACCTATCCACCCTCCCATCTACACCTTCCTCCTTCCATCCACCCAGCCACCTGCCCCATCTACACCTTCCTCCTTCCCATCCACCCAGCCACCTGCCCATCTACACCTTCCTCCTTCCATCCACCCAGCCACCTGCCCATCTGCACCTTCCTCCTTCCATCCACCTATCCACCCTCCCATCTACACCTTCCTCCTTCCATCTACCCATCCACCCTCCCATCTACACCTTCCTCCTCCCATCTACCCATCCACCCTCCATCTATACTTCCTCCATCCACCCTATCCACCCACCCATCTCACACCTTCCCTCCTTCCATCCACCCTATCCACCTGCCCGTCTACCTTCCTCCTTCATCCACCTATCCACCCTCCCATCTACACCTTCCTCCTTCCATCCCCTACCCATCCCCATCTACACCTTCCTCCTTCCATCCACCCAGCCACCTGCCCATCTACACCTTCCTCCTTCCATCCACCCAGCCACCTGCCCATCTACACCTTCCTCCTTCCATCCACCCAGCCACCTGCCCTCTGCACCCCTTCCTCCTTCCATCACCTATCCCCTCCCATCTACACCTTCCTCCTTCCATCTACCCACCCACCCTCCCATCTACACCTTCCTCCTTCCCATCTACCCATCCGCGCCAAATGCCACACGGCCTCGCCTCCCCGCCACCCTCCCATCACACAGCCTCCATCCACCTATCCACCCGCCCATCCGCCTCCTTCCATGGTCCTTCCACCACCCAACCCTCACCTCCCACTTCCCTCTTCCCCATCCATTCCACCCACCCATCTACACCTTCACTCTTCATCCACCCAGCCACTCGCCGTCTACACCAGCCTCCATCTACCCATCCACCTATCACCTGCCCGTCTACCTTCCCCCTTCCATCCCATCCACCCACCCATCTACATCTTCCTCCTTCCATCACCCATTCACCTCCCATCTACACCTTCCTCCTTCCATCCACTACCCAGCTACACCTTCCTCCTTCCATTCATCCCACCCACCCCATCTACACCTTCTTCCTTCCATCCACCCGCCCATCTATACCTTCCCTCCTTCCATCCACCCGCCCATCTACACCTTCCTCCTTCCATCCACCTACCTGTCTACACCTTCCCTCCTTCCATCCATTCCATCCACCTATCCACCCTCCCATCTACACCTTCCTCCTTCCATCTACCCATCCACCTGCCCATCTACACCTTCCTCCTTCCACCCACCCAGCCACTCACCCATCTACACCTTCCTCTTTGCATCCATTCACCCACCCATCTACACCTTCCTCCTTCCATCCACCCAGCCACTCGCCCGTCTACACCTTCCTCCATCTACCCATCCACCTATCCACCTGCCCGTCTACACCTTCCCCCTTCCATCCATCCACCCACCCATCTACATCTTCCTCCTTCCATCCACCCATTCACCCTCCCATCTACACCTTCCTCCTTCCATCCACCTACCCAGCTACACCTTCCTCCTTCCATTCATCCACCCACCCATCTACACCTTCTTCCTTCCATCCACCCGCCCATCTATACCTTCCCCTCCTTCCATCCACCCGCCCATCTACACCTTCCTCCTTCCATCCACCTACCTGTCTACACCTTCCTCCTTCCATCCACCCACCCATCTACACCTTCCTCCTTCAATCCATCCACACACGCATCCATTCTTCCAATCATCTGTCTGGCCATGCCCTTGTCCATCAGGTACCCATCCACCGAAGTGAATGTCCCCAGGAAGACAAGAGGGTCACGCTTCTCTAGGGCAACACAGAGAGGCCTGAACGTGAGACACAGCAGACGTGGGCTCCAAGGCCAGCTCTGCTTGGTCTCAGTAGCTGTGCGACCCTAGAAAACACCGTCTCTTCTGCAGGCCTCAAATTTGCAGTCTGCAAATTAAAGGCCTGGCTTCACAGTCTCTCGGTTTGGGATCTCTGACCCTCCCAGTTCCCTGGGTGTGGAGAAAGGCTGAACAAACGTCCCTCCCTGACAAACTGTGGGGAGGGCCCCTTGCAGGTGGGAGCAGGACACTCTATGCAGAGGCGACTTCACAGACACCTCGTCCCTCCCCAACACTCCCTCGTGAGTCCCCTTGGGGGCAGGAGCAGGACAGTCTACATGGGTGACTTCACGGCCACCTCCTGGGCCCGAGCCCTGCCCACCTCCTCTGCAGTGTGGAGGGTGCCTGCTCTGCCAGGACCAAGCCCACAGGCTCACTGGGAATGCAGCAGGGCGTCCGTGGCACAGGTGGCTGGTCCAGTTGCCACCGCCCTCCTTTCCTCCTCCTCCTTCTCCTCCTCCTCTTCCTCACTGTCCCATCGTCCTCCTGCCGTCCCAGGCATCAGCGCTGCTTCTGACCAGGTGGTCCCAGGGTGCTCAGGAGGGGTCATCTTGCTGGCTGGCTGCTTTCCTCTTGAAACGAGGCCCTCTGCGTGGTGTGGCCCTGAGTTTCTGGTGAATCCGCCTAGCCCACCACCAGAGCCTCCACCTTCTGCCTCCTGGAGGCCCCTGGGCCTACCTCCCCTCAACGGCTAGAGGTGGCGGGCCAAGGGCCAAGGTCAAACAGCCCAAAGCTGGCACCAGGAGACCCAGCACCAGCCCTGCCTCTGACACCATCCTGCAGATGACCTTGGCACAGCTTCTCCAGGGCTTGTCTCCCGGCCTGGCGTTCACCAGCTGTCACCAGGGGCCAACCCTTAGTGACCCCGACCTGAGTCTGATGGCCCCCGACAGAAACAAGGAGGCCTGAAGTAGGCCCAGCCTCGCCGTTACCACACACTCCCTGGCGGCGGTGCCCAGACTAGGCCCCGTTAGGGAAGCTCAAGGCGGCCCTAGCCTTTCCCCGCTTCTCCACCCAGTCAGGCCCCTGCGCGGTTCCAGTCAGGGCCTCTTTCCCTCTTGCACCCCGAGGCAACTGAGGACCCTCTGCGGGCACAGCCGTGATATCCCAGCATCCTGGGGATGTGGCTCCTCTCCCATCACACCTGCCTGTGATGTCCTGGGCTCGTCAGGCTCTCCCAGACCCCGGCCTCACACACTCCACCATCCCGTCTGCCAGTACTGCCCCTGCTTTGCCGTCAAGTGTATGTGGTCTCCTGGCCCCAGCTGGCCCAGGGGCTTCTTCTGCGCTCCCACGGTGGCCCATGCCACCCTCACCTTGCTGGACTTAATGTCCAGCCTGCCTGGCCCCTGGGACTCCTTGAGGAACAGGTTCTGGTCATCTCTGCCTGTCAGGGCCAATGGGGAGCACCAGGCCACAGTGGGGACAGAGATGGTGAGGGGAAGACAGTGGCTGGGCCTCCACCTCAGCTGGGCCACAGTCTCCAGCCAGCCTGATCTGTCAGGTCCTCCTGTGGTGACCACAAGTCAGCAACAAGGCCCAGTGAGTGGCTGGTCCTCAAGGCAGCTCCAAGTCCCACTTCAAGAAAATAAAAGCCTGAGCTTTCTTGTTCTCTCTGAGCCACTGACATGCCCCAACCACAAAGTCCCTCCGCAGTCCCTGCCCCCAGGATGGACACTGAGCCGCATGCCAGCATCAGCACGGGAGGTGGAGCGGGAAAGCCCCAAAGGCCCTCCCCGCCACTGCACCCGGGATTCATGGGAGAGGGCGGCGTGGTGCACACAAGAGAGGAGACGGTGCCGACTGCTGTGGGCACCGTGCAGACCACTGCTGCCGCAACCCCACCACTCCCAGAGCCCCCAGGGCATGGGTAGTGGACTGGTTCAGAGGAGGCCTGTGGGCATGCCTCTCCCACGCACAGGGCAGGGCCTGGGCCCCTCAGACAGACAGAGGGAGGGTTGGAGGACAGGGGACGGAGGCCGGGCTGGCCGGGCACTGTGGCCCTCACACGGACTTACTTGGTGCCTGCTGGCTCCAGCCAGGAGCTGGCGGGCTGCCTCCGCATGCGAGGACGCAGCCTCAAGGCTGGCTTCAATACTATCTGCAAATCAAGACAACAGAAGGCAATTACAGATGGAGGCCCAGCCGTCCCTGCCCTGAGGGCACCCCCGAAAGGCGAGCCCAGGGGAGCCTGAGCCCAGGGCCTCCAGAGGAGCGGAGGCTGCAGGGATGGGTTCTGGGCTGCCAGACATGCCCTGAGGGCTCTGCGTGGTGTGGGCAGTGAGTAGCAATGACATTAGAATGGAAACCTGGAGGTGGCCCAGGGAAGGGGACTCCTTAGTGCCCATACCGGGTGGGGCAGGAAGAGCCCACCCAGGAAAGGGTGGGAGTGGCAAGGGGAGGTCAGGGCTGGGGTCAAGTCCTGCTCTGTCATGACCCTGACTGGGCAGGCCCCTCCACTGTGGCCACGGCCCTCCCTGAAGGGGCAGAGCCCCTGCCTTAATGTCTGTGGAGTTGTGACTGGGCTGATGGAGACTGGGTCTGCAAGCAGAGGGCTCTGGTTGGCCACAAACACTGACCCTTGACTCAGCACAGGGAGCTGATCAAAAAGTTGTGCCACCGTGCGGGGCTCATGGGAGCCAGTGCAAAGCCGGGCTAGCTGGCTGCAGCAGTGCCGCCCGGGGAAGCCACATTAGCAGGGCCCACAGGAGACACCAGACCAGGACGGGGGCAGCCCCAGGGATCCAGAATATTCCACACCACCCCGCCAGCAGCAAAATGGCAGTACCAGGTGCTACACGCACCTAAGCCGTCCTTGCCCCACAAGCAATGCAGGGCTGGCTGTGGGCTCACGGCAGTGAGCGGCGAAGGCATCGCCCCCCGCAGGAACAGGGCCTGAACACAGGTGCTCAACCTGGGCAGCCCCTGGTGCTCAGCATTCTCTTCCACCCAAGGGAACGACACGTGCCACCTGGGCACCAGGACTGCAGGTGCAGCCTGGGTCCGCAACAGAGCCAGATGCAAACACAAGCACGGGCAAGCCTTCTTCCCGGAGGGAGGTTCCCTGCAAGGTCTGCCTCCAATGAGGCAACTGGAGAAGAGCTTGGGAGGCAGGACACCTAAAGAAACTGTGCACCTGCAATGCCCACCTGGGCACGGGCCTGAGCTGACTGAACCTTAGGAGTCTTAAGTCCTGGGATAGAGGGGCCGTTACAACCACAGGGACTGCTGCCAGGCACAGCATCGCCTCCGGCCTGGCAGGACTGGTTCTGAGGGAGGAAGGTCCTCAGAAAGACAAGGCCGCTGCCCACCGTCCCAGCAGGGACTCCCCACTTTCATCACGGAACTGTGGCTCCATCTCTGCAAGCCCCCTGGGCAGGAGGTAGACACCACGAGCCCTGCCTTCAGAAGCCCCCACCCAGGCCTCACAGGAATCCTGAACCCTTGGTCACCAGCTCCACCCCACCCTCGCCCCCAGCCCAGAGCCCTAGTGGAGCCACAGGCACTCACAGACACGCCCTGATCGCCGCATCTGGGGGCTCCTGCCCTAGCCAGGGAGGGGAGAGCCAGGCTCCTGCACAAGGAGCCAAAGCCCGGAGAGGGCGGGTATGGGTGACGCCCTCGGCTGCTCCTGGAGCAGAGCACCTCTTTGCTCACATGCAAACAGCCCCCAAATGAAATCGGCTCTCTATGTCCTGCCACATTAGGGTCACGACCCTCTCGGCCAATGGAGGAGGAGAAGGAAGGAAGATGGGGCCAGAGGTGGGACAGATCCCCCCACAACTGCCACCCAGGAGGGACCAGCCTGCCAGGGAGGAGGCGCTAGCCTGGGCCCGGGCAATGCCCCGCTCACATGCAAAGGATCCACTTTATACCTGCAGTGGCAACAGCCTGGCCTCGCTTCTGTCGCTGAGAGGCGAATGTGGACAGTGGAGAGCACTTGCCAGCAGAGACAGGAAGGCCATGGTGGTCTGGGCTAACACAGGTGGTGCTGGAGGGGCCACGTGCCCTGGCTGGACGCTTTCTCTGCCCCGTGACCACACGCAGCCTCAGCCAAGCCCTGGACCCCACCCTTGGACTCAGCCAGTGCCCAATCCTGCTCTACACCAAGCCCTGGCCCTGGGGACTCTGATCGTAGTGTGTGACCTGGAGATCCACCTTCAGAACGCGGCTGATGTCCTGCTGCTCCAGGGCTGTATGTGCGGGCCACAGACCCAGGGCGGTCCCAGAAGCATTCTTAGCCAGCGTGGCACTGCCCACATTCAAGACACATCACACAACCACTGCCCATCTCCGCAGCCAGCAAACATCTCCCTCAGCGCCCAGGCTGCCAGGTGGGTACGCCATGTCCCGCCCCAGGGTGCCCAGGCTGCCAGGTGGGTACGCCATGTCCCGCCCCAGGGTGGTGTGCAGAGATGCACAAGGGGAGGGAGGCTGCTCCTGTGCTCCTGGCGCTGTGCACCCCTGTGTTGCTTGTGGGGTGAGGACAGGTTCGGTGCATGGGCCCTGTGGTACTGAACGACACTCCAATACTTCATCAGCCATCAGCCCTGGGCCCGGTGGCTTTGCCAGGTCTCGGGAGACTCCCGGTCTGTGGGGTCAGCCCTGCAGAGCCACAGGCCCTAGGGGCCTGCCCCTCCCAACACAGGGGGTGCTCCACGGGGGCCCCTTGCAGATCCCCCAGCTCCAAAAGTCCAAGGGATACCCAAGCACTAGACCAGGCCTCCAGGGGCCAAAGAGAGCAGCCTTTGGTGCCGCCCTTCCCAGACGCTCGCAGAGCAGCACACACACACACCTCAAAGGAAACTGCCTGCCCAGCGGCCTCAGGGCACAGGGACCCCTGTGGAAGACCCCCATGTACTGTGTCAAATCGCTGCCCCCAGCCCCACAGCCGTGATCAGCCCTGCAGGCCTGGCCCTGCCCAAGCCCCGGGCAGTGCTGCTGCAGAGCGGAAAGCATGGCCGGCTCAGGGCACCTGGACCTGCAGCTGGGATGCCCCCACCCTGCCATCAGGCTTGGCAGCCACTTCCCTCTCCCTGCCTCAGCGCCCACGAGGGGAAGTCAGCCCTGTCCCAAGCACACTCTCGCTCAGGAATTCAACACATGTCAGTTGCTGTCAGCAGCAGGGCAGGTCACTCAGAGCAGTTCACAGGCACCAAATACTCCCTTGATGGAGGTGAGCCCAGCGGCCAGCAGACCTGGAGTGGCTGATCCATCAGGGGTCACAGAAGTCGAGGCTGGGCCTCAGTCTAGGGCAGGGAACCACAGGGTGAGCCAACCTGAGTTCCTGCAGCCTCCAGGGCTGGGGACTTGCAGAAAAGGACTAAACATCCGGGCCACACCAGTGCTACTGCTGCCAGGCCTTTCCTTCTCAGCCCCACACCACATGTCCACCCTTGCCGTGAAGCACCCCCAAACCAGGTCTGCCTCTGCCCATAGAATCCTGGGCTGCAAGAACCTGCCCTGCAGGAGACAATGTGGCCTCCCTGGGGGTGGATGCAGCCACCCCTGGCCTGCACAGGCCTGAGAGGAGGACCCAGGTCCTCCCCCAGCCCCACCCCATCACGAGGCCCACAGCCCAGGCCCCTTGTCCAAGGCCGGCCACAGGGTTGGTGGCACACTGGGTCTACATGTATCTCCCAACCAGCCCGGCCCACTCTGCCCATGGGTCCCAACCTCAGGCACCGCTGTGAGCAGGAGCAGCTGAGATGCCCCAGAGCTCCAAGTTCTGCCATGGCCGCCAGTGGGGGCATTTGAGGCCAGCCCCTGCCTGTCCAGTGAGGCTGAGTCCTTCTGTCTACTCTGTGGCCCTCAAGGAGGAGCTGGTCCTGCTTCCAGGGCTTCGTCTCCCAAGTCCTTCCAGCAGCTCCCAGGAAGGGGAGAGTCCAGCGCGGCTCTGCTTTGAAGGCTGGGCCACCATATGCGGAGGACGGCGAAGGAACTCATGGCGCAGTGTCTTGAGGAGGAGAGGAGGTGCGGCGGGAGGAGGCACGGAGGCGGCAGGAGGAGGACAGAGCCAGCATCACCCTCGGAGCCAGCGTCACCCTCAGAGCCAGGGGCAGCTGCGGGCTGCAGACAAGGCCCAGCCAGATAGAAATGCCTGGCTTCCGGTGGTCCCTGGAGTGGGCCCGTGGGCTCAGAAGGGGGCACAGCGTGTCCTGAGAGGCTGAGAGTCACTGGATAGCACCGCACGTGGGGCTTCCATGTGGGCCCAGAGGGAAGGGCCTGCAGAAGGAGGGGGACGCCACTGCAGGCCAGAGCGCAGCACAGCATGCGGGAGAGGGTGGGGGAGAGTCAAGCTGGGGCCCAGGCTCCTCCCTGGCTCTGCACAAACTGCTCAACAGTGACCAATGAATGAACAGGTCACCTCCTGCTCCCTGGGGGTTGTGGCAAGGGCCAATCGGCTGGAGGTGCATACGGGCAAACGATCTTCCTGCCTGCTGACTGACCTTGCCTTCTCATGGCAGCCATACCCTGGGGCTCTGGGGCTAGGGGAGAGTGGAGGGAAGCCCTCCTTCTTCCCAGACACCTCTGTCTTCAGACCCTGGGGCCAGCCGGGCCCTGTTGCCCTGCACGGGAAAGTGGGGCCTTCTCCCTGCTGGGACCCACTGGTTTGGAAGACCTGGCTGCCTAAGGACAGCTGTGCCCACTGCTGGACTGCATTCGGGAGGGGAGGGCTGCCTGTGGAGAAGAAGGCCAGGCTGGGACCCAGGGCCAAACAGGTCTCCTGGCCACACGACATCAGGCAGGAATGGCAGAAGCCAAGATGGGGGCCTTGGAGGGCACCAGGGCACCCAGGGCTGCACCCGCTGCTGCTGCTTATCGGGGAGCTCTGCCCTCATCTCTGTCCCCACCAGGCACTGGTCCCAGCAGCCACCTTGTGAGCCCTCCCCATGGTAGCACTCACCACTCAACAGTGACGTGGAACAAGGCCCCAGTGTCCTATCTGGACACCCGGTGGGCGTGGCTCGAGGTGGCGCCTATGGTTGAGCCCCTTGGCGGCATATGCTTGGCAATGCTGGGAGGACCCTGAGCTGGGACCCCAGGCGTGAGCCGCAGCCCTTCCACTCCAGAGACAGGCAGAACCCTCCCTGGCCCCAGCCCTTGGTGTCCCCACCTAAAAGACGACGGGCCAGGAGGGTGGTGGGCCATCTCCATGGGCCTCTGTGTCTCCCTCAGAGGGTCTCCCTCTTGGGAGCTGGTGCAGAAAGCTCACAGCACACTTGCCGGCCCTGCTTGCCCCAGGGCAGGGTGGTCCTGGGGAGGCGGGCTGTAGGGAGGGCCCACTTACTTGGCAGGGGCTCCGTGGCTTGGCCCTCGCCCTGGGGACCGTGGGCAGAAAACGTCTCTGCCACCATGTGCTCCACAGGCGTGAGGATGAGGCCGGGGGCGGGGCCCCCCTCTGCCAGCTTCTTGCGCACAGCGCCTCGCAGGTCCCGCCACTTGTGCTTGAGGTCACCCAGGTCGCGACGGCAGTAGCCCAGCGCGTTCACTGCCTGCAGGATGCGGCTCCACACGCGGTGCTTTCGGGCAGGCGTGCCCCGCAGTGCCCCAAACAGCAGCGGGTAGTGGCGCCTCACCCTCTGCACCAGCACCTCCGTCTCTTGGGGGCTGAAGTTGGGCTTGCGTGTCTTGGTGCGGGGGTGGGGGCCTGGCCGCAGGGGCGTGGAGCCCGGCCCGGCACCTGGCAGCAGGGCCACCGTAGCCAGCTCGGGGCTGCAGCTCTGCCGGCACATAGCTTTGCTGCTGCTGGACCCTGGAAAGGCACCAGAGGCTGAGCAGGGGGCAGAGACCTTGGGGAGAGCAGCCAGGTTCGGGGTCACAGGTCATCACAGGCCTTGCATCTGTGCACAGCAGCCAGGCCCCGCGTCGGCACCCAGCATAGGCAGCCTGCATCCACTGTACTGGGCCCCTTGTGTCTCAGCCACTCTCTGGGCCTCCCGCCTGTCCACCGGGCAGGTGCCCTCTGGCCTCCCTGGGGCCCTGACCACGTGTGGCGGGTCAGCCCTGGTTTGTCCCTCTCCCCACGACTGCTCCCTTCCCTGAACTGCTGGCATGAGTGCCCCCTCAATGAACCCGTCACTAGGACTGGGTGGGCACCTGGAGTGGACAAAGCACTCCACACGCTCAGCACATCCCAGCCTGCGACAGCTAGCCAGGGGCAGAAGCGGCTACAGCCACCTCGGGAAGCTGACAGTGGGGACAAGGTAGGAGGACAGGGAGACAGGAGGGTCCTGGGGAGAGGAGGCAATAAGGGACTGATAGGGCAGCCCAGCAGGCGCCATATGGGGCCACGGAGCAGCTGGAAGCCCAGGTTCCGAGGGGATGGAGGGGCGAGCCTGGCCCAGCCTCGCCCCGGGGAGCAGCAGGGTGCTTGAGCCTCAGTCCCTCTTCTCCTGGGGACACAGCACAGCACCCGGGAAGAGGACGCCAGCTGCGTGAGGGTCTCCGGACACACTGCCAGTTGTCAGAGCAGGAGGGACCGGGAGGCTGGTCTCGGCACAGGCCCCAAGGTGAGGCCACAGCTTGGCCAGGGCACAGAGGGAGAGCAGGTGGGTGGGGCGGAGCCCGAGAGGCCTGGTGGGCAGCCAAATGCTTTAACCAAAGGCCTGTGGGCACCAGGGGCGGCCTGTGGGCACCAGGGGTAGCCTGGCTCTTCCTCAACTGAGGAAGAGAGACACCCAGCCAGAGGCGGGGGCCCCTGCCCCGCCAGCCTGGGAGCCAGGGCTCCTGGCAGCAGGTCTGGACAGGGTGGGATCAATGGGTCAGAGCCCTCGAGTGGGAGCGGGGAAGACACCAAAACACAGCAGGGATGGGGTCCCTATGGGAGGGGGGCAAGGTCAGCATCCCCTTGAAGGCCCCTGCAAACCTCGAGCCCCACCATGGTTGGGGGCCGCACAGGCAGGCCAGGGCCACTGTGTGACTACAGCAGGAAGAGGACATGAGGGACCCTGGCTCTCCACAAGCAGAGGAGGCTAGAGCACACGGAGTCAGAACCGGACGCGGTCATCCCGGGGTTAGGGTCAGGGTTGGGGGACCCAGAGCTTTTAGACCTCATGGTGAGGATCTCTCTAGGGAGGTCCGTGGGCAACCCATGGAGACAGAGGGCAACCAAGGCAGGTGGGGGCGCTGGGGAGCTGGTGGCTTGGGCGGGGTCACTGGGCACTGTGACCTCTCTTCCTTCTGTCTGGGAAAGCTCTTCCCTCGCCCTGGGTGAGGGTTCCTGAATGGAGCCTCCAGCCTCCCTGGCTCCACGCTCAGCCCCTTCACCCCGACCTCTTGCCTATCAGGTCCTCGGCTGGCAGCCTCCAGCGGCAAAAGGGTGGGGCTTCTCCGGGGACTCAGAGGCAAGGGACAAGGCTGTGGGCCTCCCACTTCATGCCCCACATAGAGCCTGGCGCTAAGGTAGGGCCTGACCCTGGGCACACGGGAGGCCCTGCTGCTTCACTTCCTTTTCCAGAGGAACGCAGGGCTGAGGGCCCACGGTTCTGGCTGGGAGGTGTCCTGGCTTGTGGTGCAGCCCATCTTCTCGTAGATGCAGGGAGTTCAGGACACCGTGCCCTGGCCGGGCCTGCACGTTCCCACGCCGCTCTCCCCACACCCTTCCCAGCACGGGCACATCCACAGCAGAACCAGAGCTCTGGCCTCCACACCTCTGCAATCTCACAACCCTACCCACCCCAGAACAGCCTCACTGCGGGGAGCCTCTGGGCAGAGGCCCAGGACGAAGGCGTGGAGGCCAGTATCTGTCAATGAGTGGAGCAGGGGCCAGTATCTGTCAATGATCACGGTGGGGCCAGTGTCTGTCAATGAGCAAGGTGAGAGCTAGTGTCTATCAATGAGCGGAGCAGGGACCAGTGTCTGTCAATGAGCGGAGGCGGGACCAGTGTCTGTCAATGAGAAGAGGTGGGGTCAGTGTCTGTCAATGAGAAGAGGTGGGGCCAGTGTCTGTCAATGAGAAGAGGTGGGGCCAGTGTCTGTCAATAAGCAAAGCGGGGGCCAGTGTCTGTCAATGAGCGGGGTGGGGGCCAGTGTCTGTCAATGAGCAGAGATCGGCCAGTGTCTGTCAATGAGAAGAGGGGAGGCCACTGTCTGTCAATGAGCAGAGGCAGGGCCAGTGTCTGTCAATGAGCAGAGGGGAGGCCACTGTCTGTCAATAAGCAGAGGCGGGACCAGTGTCTGTCAACGAGCAGAGGCGGGGCCAGTGTCTGTTAACGAGCAAAAGTGGGACTAGCGTCTGTCAATGAGCAGAGCCAGGGCTAGTGTCTGTTAACGAGCAGAGGCGGGGACAGTGTCAATGAGCAGAGGTGGGGCCAGTGTCTGTCAGTGAGGGGGGCAGGGACCAGTGTCTGTCAATGAGCCGGGCGGTGGGGGTGCAGTATCTGTCAATAAGCAGAGTATGGAGCCAGTGTCTGTCGATGAGCAGGGTGAAGGCTAGTGTCTGTCAATGAGTGGAGACCAGTGTCTGCCAATGAGCAGAGGCGGGGTCAGTGTCTGTCAATGAGCAGAGCAGGGCCAGTGTCTGTCAATCAGCAGAGGCGAGGCCAATGTCTGTCAATGAGCAGAGCAGGGCCAGCGTCTGGCAATCAGCGGAGTAGGGGCCAGTGTCTGTCAATGAGCAGAGTGGGTGGGCCACCCTGTGTGGGCCTCCCCCTGCCCTTAGCCTTCCTGAGGGGCTGGAGGAGACAGGGCGGGTGGGGAGGGAGCAGAAGCTCAGACCTAGACTCCAACCTGGGCCTGGCTCCTCTTAGAGGCTGCTCCACCCACCCTTAGGTGAAGGGGTGAGGACTGGGGGCTGGCAGGCAGGCCCTCGGGGCAGCAGGTGGCCCGAGGCTGGGGCGGGCACCCACCGACAGCTTCTCCTTGCTCTGACACCATGGAGGCCAAGTCCTTGATGATCTGATTCACATCCAGCAAGTTGCTCTGTGGAAACAAGACAGCCACGTCAGGAGCAGGGCTGTGGGGCAGACTCCAAGGGCACCTGAAAGTTCCCATGGAGCCTGGGGCGGACCCGGGCGGCACATGCAGAACAAGGAACCAGAGAACAGCCGGGGACCAGTTGGTCTATCCAATTCCTGTGAGAGAAGGCATGACTGGGCCCAGAAAGGGCAGGGGCAAGCCCAGGGTCACCCCAAAAGTCAGAGACAGGGTAAGGATCTGAGTTCTCCATCTCCTGACTCTTGAGGCCAAACCCCAAGCTCTCCAGGTGTCCCAGGGGCTGTGAGCTGCTTCCCTGGGTCCCAGGGCCTGTCTCTAGGATGTGCAGTCTAGTGAAGGATGGCATCCCAGCACCGTAAAGGCCTGACCGCAGGAGAGCAGAGAATGTCTAGGGCAGATACGCCATCCCCACTTGCCTGAGGGCTCCTGGACAGAAGGTCTGCCTTTCCCTCTCTGTGTAGCAGCACTGAGCATGGGCCAGTACACAGGCACTGCTCAGCAAATCCTAAAGAAGTGGGATAGATGGACGAACAGGTTCAGAGAAGTGGACAAAAGGGTGGATAGGTAGATGGAAGGATGACAGACAGATGGGTGAATAGGAGGGTGGACAAATGGAATGGTGGATGGGTGGGTGGATGAATAGATGGGTGGGTAGATGGATGGATGGGTGGGTGGATGGATGGGTAGGTAGGTGGATAGGTGGTTGGACAGATGGGTGGGTGGGTGGGTGTGTGTGTGTGTGTATGGATGGATGGATGGATGGACGGATGGACGGACGGACGGACGGACGGACGGACGGATGGACGGATGGATGGATGGATGGATGGGTGAATGGATGGGGTGGATGGATGGATGGATGGGTGAATGAGCTGGTAGGGTGGGTGGATGGATGGGTGGATGGGTGGGTGGGTGGATGGGTGGGTGGGTGGGTGGGTGGGTGGATGCGTGGATGGATGGATGGGTGGGTGGGTAGATGGATGGGTGGATGATGAGATGATGGGTGGTGTGATGGATGATGGGTGGGTGGATGGATGGGTGGATGGGTGGATAGGTGGATGGGTGGGTGGGTGGATGGGTGGGTGGGTGGATGGATGGATGGGTGGGTGGATGGATGGATGGTGGGTGGATGGATGGGTGGATGGTGGGTGGGTGGATGGATGGATGGTGGGTGGATGGATGGGGTGATAGTGGATCTGGATGGGTGGATGGGTGAATGATGTGGGTGGATGTGTGGGTGGGTGGGTGGGTGAATGGATGTGTGGGTGGGTGGTGTGGACATGTGTGGGTGGGTGGGTGGATGGATGGATGGATGGGTGGGTGGGTAGGTGAGTGGGTGGATGGATGGATGGATAGATGTGAATGGATGGGTGAATGGATGTGTGGATGGATGGACTTGATGGATTGGGTGGGTGGGTGGGTGGATGGATGGGTAGATGGATGGGTGGGTGGGTGGGTGGGTGGATGGATGGATGGATGGATGGATGGATAGATGGATGGGTGGTGATGATGATGGATGGATGGATGGATGGATGATGATGATGGCAGAATGGATGTGTGGGTGGGTGGGTGGGTGGGTGGATGGATGATGGGTGGATGTATGTGATGATACAATGGATGGGTGAATAATGTGTGGATGGATGGACGGATGGATGGGTGGGTGGATGGATGGGTGGATGGGTAGATGGATGGGTGGGTGGGTGGGTGGGTGGATGGATGGATGGGTGCATGGGTGGGTAGATGGGTGGATAGGCGGGTGCATGGGTACATGATGGATGGATGGATGAGGGACAGATGGATGATGGTGGATAGATGAGTGGGTGAATGGATGGAAGAATGAATGCACAATATGTGGACGGACGATGGACAGGTGGTGGGTGGGTAGGTCAATGAGCTGCTAGGTGGATGGTTGCTCCACTGTTATCCAAGGACTGAATGGCTCCATGAAACTAGTGAACAGAGTAAGGAACAGAAACATGGGCCAGGAGGACTCTGGGGTATCCCTCCATCCCGGCATACTGTGCTGGCCTCTTCCATCTTCCATTCTGTCTACCTTCACCCTAACTCCTTTTGCCCAGTAAAGTGGCCCTGATGATCCTAAGGGATGTGGTCACACCACTCTCAGAGCACACACCGGGGCTGTGCTTCAGGCAGGGCACATACCATCCCTTCACACCTGGCACCCACCCAGGAGCATCCTAGCATCCATCTAACAGAGCAGGGAGTGGGGGCTCAAGTGGTCCCATGGCCTCCAAGGCCTCTCAGAAAGGGGAAGAGTTGGGACTCAGACCCCTGCTCACTGACCAGATGCCCACTCCTTCCCTGACTGCCACGCTGCACCTAGGACGGCTCCTCAGTTGGCCCGATGCATGGCCCTGGGCAAGCCTGGTCACCTCAAGCCAGGTTTGCTCACTTAACACCTGAACAAAACCAACCCTCCTCACACAGTGCCTGGCACATGGCTGGATTCCAGCCAAGTCCCGGGGAAGCTCCTTCAGGCCTGCTGTGACCCCTGCCCTGGCACACCCATCCAGTCAGCAGCTCATTCCAGAGCTGGGATTGATTTCCATGAGGGTCATTTCACCCCACTGCAAAATGTTACAAGGGAATTAATTTTCTCTTTAGGAGTATTCTGGGAAATGAAACCATTAGCATGATCTTAAACTGACACATGGTATCAACCACAATTCAATTATGGGGCTTAAATGTGCTACAGAGGCAGGTGGTCACTCTGCAGGGACTGGGCAGTGGCTGGGAAGGTAGCGAGAAGGTGGGCCCAGGGGTCATGGCTTCGGTGTGCATCTGCGGCGGCAATGGGGGCAACAGCAAATGAAAGGATGGGCATGGCTTGGCCCGAGCCGGTTTCTGTTCTCATCACCACCACGTTCTGCCGCAGTGAGGCCACCGGCTCTGGAGACCAAGCCTAGGCTCCGTCCTACGACGGGGACAGCAAGGTCATGAAGCATGGCTCAGCCAAGCGAGTCCCCATCTCCACAAGCTTCCTAGTTACAGACCTGACCCCGTCAGAAGCCAGGCATGACCCCACCACCACCAACTTCGACCCTGGCCACTGAGCATACCCAGGCCTGGTGCACCCTGAGTCTGGTCTTGGTGGCTCATGGCCTTAGGGACTTGCAGGGGTCTTTCCAAGGGCTTCACAGGCAGAAGCATCTCTCTACATGGCGTGTGACTCACCTGTTATTGCCCCATTTGACAGGGAAGATGGAAACTGAGTCACTGAGAGGGTTCGTGACCGCCCAATGACACGCAGCTGGAAAATGCTGGAATCCGCATCCAACCTACATTGAGACAGCCTCCAACCCAGGTCACTACCACCACCAACACGGCGCGGCAACCAAGGCCGCCCTCCCGGATGTGGAAGCCAGGACCCCGGCCAGATCTCAGGGACGGTGGGCCGTCCTCCCGGACGTGGAACCCAGGACCCCGGCCAGATCTCAGGGACGGTGGGCCGCCCTTGAGGACGTCCCATGCTGCAGCCACCACCATGGGATGGGCCTCCAATGTGTGCACCAATCAATCAGCTTCCCATGAGCAGGAGCAGAGAAGGGCCGCACTGGCACGATGCTGTGTTCCTGGGGGGATGCACGGCTAAAAGCCCCTGCCTGGCCTGTGGGGAGGCAGCTTTGGTAAGAGATGCCAGGCAGGGGTGTGGCTGAGCAAGGCCGAGTCCAGTGCCTTTCAGGGGCCTGGGACACCCAGCTGCTGGGGCAGGGTGGAAGACGGGCAGCTGTGAGTCCCTCAGGCTCCGCCTCAGCGTTCCAGGCACACCTCTGTGTGTACATGGCCACTGCACTGGGCGTTCCCTGATGACATCAGAGTCAACTTCCATAACCCCGAAAGCACGGGGTGGGACATGGTGTTCCCAAGATAGGCAGAGACGCTGTGGCACCCACAGGGCACAGATGGCCTGCGTTCTAGATTTTGGGGGCGGCGCCCAGAGACGCAGTGGCCGAAGTGATTTTCTGTCCCATTGCCGACACTCACTGCCGCTGCCTGGCTTCACAGAGGGCTTTTGCTCCTCCAGGGCCCCAGGTCCTCCTGGGCAGAAGCGTTTTTGTAGTCAGTGCTGGGGCTGAGGGTGGCTGAGAGGAGCCGGCACTAGCAGGGCCACCTGCGATCCCCACCAACCTTACCAGAAACATGTCAGGCGCACAGACAGAGGAGACGGTGGGGGGCGTGTTCTCTGGGCTGGGGCTGCTGCCGGGGCTCCCGCCCACTCGTTGCTGGACTCAGAAGAGAAGCAGCAGGAACAGTGATAACTGACCATTGGGATGAACTAAGACACAGAATGTTAATCTGCACCACAGCCAGCTCGCGGGACACACAGACTCCAAGCCTTCAGTGCAGTGGCTGTGCCTCCTGAGAGAGGGGACCATGGCTCCTGGCACCACGGGCTCATGCACCCCAGCTTTAAGAGGCTCAGCCGGCAGGGCTGGCAGGGCCTCAGGGACGCATGCCGAAAGGTTCCCACTCCCTGACCTAGGAGCAAACGCAGCACTTGTGTGAAGTCTGCTCATTCTCATTTTAGGCGTCCCTCTCTTTAAGACGCCTGGCACTCAAACATCGACCCGGTCCCACTTCCCAGCAGACGGGTGAGCTGCCAGCCGGCCCAGCCCACTCGGAGGCACCCCGTGCCGAGGCGCTCAATGATGAGTGAACGTCGTTCACCTCGAACAAAGCGGGAAGCAAAGCCTGAACATAAGCTCGGGCTCCAGGCACGCAGCCACAGTTAAGAAACTCCTGACCCTTGTTTTCTGGAAAATGGCTCACCACAGAGAACCACTGCCCACAGGCCCTGGGAAGGGCCAGCTGGACCCAGTCCTTCTCTGTATAGAAGGGAAAGGACGCTGAAGTCGGGTAGCGAGCCTGGGGCCCCTCCCTGCTCCCCAGCCTGAGGCTGGAGACCACGGCCCCACTATCCCTCCTGGCAACTGGGCCGGGATCTCACGGAACCCGAGAGAGCTGCT